CCATTTTTCATTTCATTTTTGTATGCTTTTTTTACTGATACAACTGGTTCAGACAACAAGTTTTGTGGACCCCACAGTAAGCGGAACAGCTTCAGAAAGGAATACCACTTGAGGTTTCTTGGATGAAAAAAATTCTCATTACTCCTGGTGGTAGTGGGATTCAAAACCACACACTTGACACTTCAATACAGTCAAGGTGTAACCTAACTCCGCTTTCACAGCTGGCATTCGCTTTTTATAGAAACTTTTTGTAGTGTCATTGACATCAATAATTTCAACTTATTCTTTGTAGTATTTACCTAGGTTAGTAATATGAGACATATTAAAGCAGATTAATTTGCATAAGTAACAGTTTAGCAAAAAAGCTAGCTATAAAGTAATGCTAGGACCATACTGTACATATTTGAGAATGATGACAAACACTACATACTTGTTGTTGTTGTTTATCTTTTGCTTTCTGTTGTTGTCTTTGTTTTATTTTATTCATGATAGTTGTACCTGGTGGCTGGTTAGATGCCTTAGCTTTCACTGCTTTCTCTTTGGCTGCTACTATCTCTGGTGACTGCTCTTTAGTCAGTGGATTATCCAGATGTGCAGCCAATGATTCTCTTACTGTAAACATAAGATTATAATAAATACATCAGTTATATAGCATCATATCTGTGATGCTTGAAAGGTCAAGGGTGAACACTGAGACTCATTGTATTAAATTCAGTTTTTGTTATAGCTATGATTCTGCAAATTTTATTGAATGCTCACTCAATAAGACTTATTATTCTCTGTCACATGTTACAGCGTGCCGTAATGTTGTGGTATTTTATGAGTATTTTCATCCTACCATATTAGGAAATGCGAATTCCAAATATGGAATGATTACGCGCGTAAGTAACATGGCTGCCACTAGGGTTTGACCGGACTCCACACAAAAAAGTTCGCTGATTCTGTTCTAAACTTTTTGGATTTTGGCATTCCCATGATGTATCCTTGGAAGATGTATAACAATAAGGTTATTGCGAGAATACCTCAAAGTGTGCACTCAGACAGTACGCATTGCATCGATACTCCCGCTGTACCATCTTCGTGCATGCTTTGAGGTATCCTCGTAATAATCTCATCAGCAATATCAATCATGAATTTCATTGACATGCCAACTTTGGTTTGATGTGTAGACCTGTATATATTTTTTTTATATATTTTCGGCCAATGGCCTTGAGTTATTAATAAAAACTAATAAATAATTTTGATCTTGATATATTGATGGGGCATAGAGAAACACAGAGAAGGTAAAACTATAGACTTCCACTGTGTGCATCACAATTGTTGGTTTACATACCATTTATCGACTGAGAAACAAATGGATGATGCAGCAAATGAGGCCATGATAGTCTTTTCTTGGGATTCTTAGTCAGTAATCCCTGTAGAAAATCTTTAAAATCAGAACTCATGTTTTTAGGCCATTTTACAGGATCCTAAAAAAAACAAAAAAACAATTGAGGTCAAAAAACGTTAAACAAGACTAGCAAACAGAAAGGTTGATATTTACATTGCAATTCAATGTAAAATTACTATTTGGAATGCAACACATTATTAAAGGAAAAGTCAAGGATAACAACATAATACTCCCAGGTGAAAGAGCTTGGCATATGTAAGAAAATGCAATTTACAGTTTTTTTATATCATTTTTCATTCTCTAGATTTCACTTTTTCATTAGTTTATGTAGTCCACCATCTTGATTCTTCAGCAAAGGATTATGGGTAAAATATGACGCACTTTTCACAATTAGACCAAAAACTCAAAATCTGCAGGCACATACATTCTGGCGTATCATTTTATCATTTTTCTCAGTGATCACAAAAATTAGAGGGAGGTGATCTGTAGATAATACAAAGTAGGAATGCAGCTTTTAAGACGTTATTCAACTGTTCCTCACCTTGATAATAAGACTGACAAGTTGAAATATACTGTTAGTATAAAATGGTGGAGTTCCAACAAACAGTTCATATAATATACATCCCAATGACCAAAGATCTGCCGTGTGGTCATATGGCTTCTCTTCTACTAACTCTGGTGACATGTACAGAGGTGTACCCTGAAAAAAAAAAAAATGTTATAGTAGGCATACTGATTGAAAATATGTTTTTTACTGTAAAATGACTAATTTTCACTGGGTTTAAATTTCGCTGATTTAGCATTTCAGGCGTATTCAATGGGTTTTAAATTCACGGTTTTATTATTTAGATATTGTGTTTTATGCTAAATTTTACATATTCACTGGGTTTTAATTTAGCGCATTTTCCAGCCAGCGAAATAAGCAAAATTAAAACCCAGTGAATAATTAACCCTTTAGAGTATATAAAAATTGCTTTATGTTCCACCTGAACATAAGAGGGGCACAGTGTTGTAGTAAAATTAATATATTTTTCAAATTCAAACTCTGCTATACAAATTGCAAATAAAATTAGGAAATTAGCTGCACTTTCTAAAGAAAGCTTATAACTGCGTATAATACTTGTGCATATGTTCAGTGTCACTAAATTTAGTTTGTTCTTCTTGCTAATAAAATTCTTGATAGAATAGTGTCACTAGATTATTTAAAATCAATACTTTTTTCTTAAAAGTTCAAACTCAGTATTTGTATGGGTTTTACTGGGTTTCACTGTGTTTTTAATTATTGGATTTGCCAGTAAAACAATGTGTTCTGTTGTAAATCTTAATTAGTGTTTACCTAACAAATTTAATATTCAAATTAGACATCCTAAATATTAAAATTATTTTTTCATGTGTGAGCAAAGTTTTTCATCCCCGTAAAACAGTGTATCCTT